AATCCTATCCTCTGCTATTGTTCTTACTAACTGGTCTGATTCTTCCAACACCCATGTGTCTGCTCATTTTTATAAAGGGTATTTGTGAGCCATGTGCTATGAATGGAGTGCTTTCCTTTTCTTTTGGTTTGTAGCTGAGAGGGAAGTCTTGACACTGCAATGACATTACCAAAGTCACACAAGAACCCCTTCTTGAAGGAAGGTCTTTCTCTCCCACTCCTGACTCATTTGATGTGTAGACTGGGTCTGTACAGGTACTCAAAGGTCATTATAACACAGGAAAACTGGAAAGGAGAAAAAGGGGGTCAAAATAGATCCAGGACCCTCTCAGAGAAGCTAAAAGGCAAAAGTTAAAGTTTCCTTGTGTATGTTTAAAAAAAAATTAATGAAAGAAGACATTGTTTTTATGTTCTGTGTTTCTAAGTGTTAACAGGATGAGAAACACTTTTTGTTCACATTCCCTTGTAACCTTGAAATGAGAATGTTGAAGTTCTTTTCTTTCTTTTTCATTGCATCCCACAAAAAGGTTATTCTGAATACACTTGGCAATATTCAGACAAGCTATTTCCTAATCCTCAAAATAGCTTTTGTTTTGAATGTTTCCCAAAAGTCTTAAAATATGTTCATGAACTGTATATATACTTCATTTACTAAATTTTTGGATTGCACATCCTTAAAGGAAAAATAAAACTTGAAGCACAAAGATTTTAAAATACTGTAAATCTAGATGAGTGGAAAAACACATTAAAATATCTTTTCTTAATAAACGGAGAGTGATATAAATTTACATACTCAAAAGAGAGTCTCAACAACACTAGGAAGTTCATTTTTGTTGTTCCTGTTGTGATTCACACTAACTTACTGGTTTTTAAACCTCAGAATATTGTTATTTAAAATAAATTTACTCATCGAGTAGCAAACACAAATATTAAGAACTGATTCATAATTGAAAGTTCTTTTTTCAAACATTTCAAATGGTATTTTCTTCTAAGGAAATACATTCTTTTTCCTGAGTTTGTAAACTCATCATTTACTCATTCAACAACTACTTGGTGAGTGGCAGCTGGCATTGTATTAGTACTGGTGATATAATAGTGGAGATAATAGACATTAATCCAATAATCACACACACAGTATATCATCAAAGATTGGTATAAATGATGAGAGAGAAACATAGAGAGCCTTGAGAGACCTGATTTAGGCTGAGGAACAGGGAAGAACCTAGTGAAGAAGTAGCCACTGAGCTACAGGATGAAGTGTGAGTAAGAGGCAACCAGGAAGAGAGCATGTGTACTGATGGAGCGATGAGAAGATGCACGGCGTGTGTGAAGCCCTGAAAGGAGGCTGGCATGTCCAGTGCACGTTAACCCAGGGAGGAAGTGTCTGTAGAGGTCAGTCAGGTCTGGGTCTTATTGAATCCAAAGCCTTGGTAATGATTTTGATTTTTATGGTAAACTCAAAGGAAGTTCTTACTTAAAGCAAAGAGGTGACAAGACTATATGTATATGATACACACACATATATATACATATACGTGTATATATATATGTGTGTGTATGTGTGTGTATCATATACATATAGTCTTGTCACCTCTTTGCTTTAAGATATATATATATATATATATATATATATACATACATATATATGCATGTATATACACACACATATATATGAATTGAAAAATCACTCTCGTATTGTGGAGGAGCAATTAGAGGGGGTGGTAAGTGTGGATAAGGGAAGGTCAGATAGGGAGCTATTCAAATGGTTCAGAGGAGAATTGATAGTGGTGAATACAGAGGGGAGCAGAGAGATTCGAGAGATTTTAGAAATTTATTCGAAGATAAAATCAACAGGAAGATTCCTAGAGTTCTCACCTAGTGAATCTTAGAAGCATGAACTATGCACAAGTTGATAAGGCAGCCACCTTCCCCATGTTGAGGTGTAGGTGGCATTTATGTGACATGAGCAAAGGTGGCTGCTAAAGAAAGTAGACAAGTAATAGACCATCATGTGGTAAAAGTTTCAATCAGAAACAGGAAAGCCAATGTTATGGCAAGACGGCAGCGGCCAAGCCAAGGTCGCAGCAACAGCTGGGAACTCTCTGGGGAAGGCTTGTTGAATACAGAAATAAAGCTTGACATCCAATGCTGGTTATATATTGGGTGGCTCCTGATTCCCAGGCAGCTCTGCTCATGCCCCAAAGTAACCCAAGAAAGCTAAACAGGCAAGTCACCTGACTTACCTTTGTGACAGCTCTATGTGTTCTCAAAACATCACTCTCCTTCTAGGATGCAACACAATAGTGAAAGTTTCTCATCCTTCACACACAAAACTTAAGTTGGTGTTCTAGAAATTTCTTGGAATGGGGTGTCAGTAGAAGATCTGGGATGAATATTGTCTCCGAACTTTTTTAGTAACATAAAATTTAGGGACACAGTATCAATGTATGACAATATGCAGAGAATACCAGGGAAGCCATCTGGTATTGGTGTCCAGTTTTTAACTGAGTGCTATCATGTGGACATGACTGCCCAGATAGTGGTCTCAGTCTCCAGTGGTCCACTGATGCCCCTTGACCCAAAGTCTCTACTAAAAATTATGTTGTTATTATCAATCAATCGTAGCCTAAGACCATCTGGTGTGGCCAACCCTCACTCTAAATTCCACTCTCAAGACTATCCAGTGTGACTTAAAAGCCCTAGGCAATCTATATTTTAAATTAAAGAATTCACAATTTATAGAGTTTTAAATTTAATTGTTACCCATATTCATCCATCTACATGAATTTTGAACATTTTGCTAAGGGTTGAGGATGAAGTGATTAAGATGGGTTTACTAGATTATCAGATGTATTATTTGGGATTTTAGTTGCAAGTAATAAAATTCTAGTGACTTGATTTAAAATGTTTTAAAAAAGGATTTATTATGAGGATGGGAAGTAGTTTATGAAATTCAAAGCCAAGAATCCTTCATTTCTCTTCCTCTTCATGCTCATTCCTCCAATCCAGAAGGTGGAACTTGTTTACTCTACAATTCAGAATATACATCATTTAGTTTAAGATATTAATTATTTCTTTTAGGGTCCATATTTTAGTTAATATTTTAACCACTGTGACTAAAATACCCAACAATAACCAACTTAGAGGAGGAAAAGTTTTTTGGGGGATCACAGTTTCAGAGGTTACAGTCCATTGCTCTGGGCCAAAGGTGAAGCAGCATATCATGGGGAGAAGAACTCAGTGGAGGAAGGCTGCTCAGCTAATGGTGGGGTCAGGAAGTAGAGAGAAAAGGGAGTGGGCAATGGGCCACAGGGAAGATGCCCAGGGCATAACCCTCACTGACCCACCTCCTCCAGCCTTGCTCAACCTGCCTACCATTACCACCCTGTCCATTCAAACTAGGAAGGGCTGGTTATGTTACATTTCTCACAGATGGATCATTTCACCTCCAAGCATTCCTGCACTAACACAGGAGCTTTGGGAAGACACTTTATATCCAAACCATAACAGTCCTGGTTTCAAACTTATGTCCGGAGGAGATGGATGGACTCAAGTTGAAGGAACTGTTTAACTTTGGGCCAATAAGCCATGACCAGTGGAATAAGACCACGAGGTGCAAACATGGAACCAGGAATATTGCAGGGGAGAGAGCCTATTAGATATTAACTGTAGGGCTCCATAGCCATAAGGGCAGAGCACTTATGAAGCATCTTGCAGAGAAAGGGCTCATCTGTTGCTTAAATACAAGGGAAGCTGGACTAATCGATAAGCCCTGGGATATCAAGAAGGCTGCTATGCCCTACTTTTTATTTGACCACATATTTACAATAATATGTTATGCTAGACTTTGTATTATCATGAGAAAGACATGGCATTTGGATACAGAGGAACCACATCTTAGCCTCTTATAATGTCTAAATTATCTTCTTGTAGTCTTTGTTAACTTCTTTATTAAATAAGGAATTTCCCAACTCATGAGGTTATACCAAATAACAAATGACATTGTGTATATAAAAGCCCTTCATAGAAAGCTGAGCATATAGTAATTCTTATCTTTTGTATTTTTTATTATAATCCAAAGATTTTCTAATTTGTGTAATTGGGAAAATATATGTAATGATCCTAAGTATTTTTTTTTAATCTTACATTGTATCTTTTTTTAAAAAGCTTTTTTAAGTTACATACAACACCAGGATACACTGACATTATCACAAAGGTGTGGAACTCTACAAAGGAGCTGGCTGACCATGGACTAAATCCTCTGAAACTATGAATCCACATAAACTCTTCATCTTCTAAGTTGTTCTTGTCACATATTTTGGTTACAGTGATAAAACAACAACAACAACAACAACAACAACAACAAAAGCCTAACTATCAGAGGCCAAAAATGCTGGTGTGCAAGGATTTCCATCCTTGGTAATCTGCTACACCAGCTCTATCCCAGAGAGACAATGTACCCGGCACTATGAGTGACATTCAGTGCAAAAGAAAAGTTCTACCTTGTTACACAGAGATGGAAATAACATACTTTATGTCTTAAAGGTCATTTAGAAGACAAAATTTTGTAATAACTGCTTCATCCCATTCACAATTAACCAAACCTTGTGCTATACAATTATTCTTTATTGTTACCTAATTTTTCTTTGTAATTGTGGACATAAAATTCTGGGGGCATATTGGCTACATAAAGAAGAAAACAAATTCAATGAAGGAAACTCAGGAATGGAAAACTGACAAATAGAATAAACAAGTTTATCATATTTCCAAAAGGAGAACTCAAGGGCTTTGCCAAGAGGATTGTAGAATTTTTTTTTTCTTTTTACTTTGGGCTATGTGAATGTGTAAAATAGTCTCTAGGACGTTCAGCCACTTTCTGGTATAATACTGCTAAGTTATGTGGAGGCCAGACAAGTAAAAAATATTTGCAAGCAACTCAGAACACATTGATGAGCCTTTGGTGTTACACACTATCTTCCTGGTTCCTCCTTACCTCAATTTGTTCTTGGTTTCATAAAGAAGAATGTCATGCCTCCTTGTTATTTAAATCAGGCAGATTTCCTTGGAAGGTTTCCTTCTCACACATCTTCAGTGAAACAACAGATATTGGCTTATTTCAAAGCTGCCAAAACTCTGTATTAGTAAAAGAATGTAATAGATATCAGTATTATTATCCTTTCTTTTAAAAACATATTTGAGGGAATGGCTTTTTGTGTAAAATCTTATTTTGACTTTAACTAGATTTGACATAGTAGCTGATATATTATTATTCTTCTGGGGTCCCCCAAATCTGGGAAAACCTAGTACTGGGGCTTAATTTTCTCTTTATGGGGTTTCTTAAATTATTTCAAATTCACCTTCTTTTTGGCATTAATGACAACAGCTTGAAATTGAGTCATGGTGTGCCAACAGGGAAACTTTTGGGATAAGTGTGAAAGGAAAACCACAAAAAATAAAAATTCAGCACACTAGTGTTAATATAAAGAAGATTGTTCAGTCCACTTCCCATCTGTATTCAATTCCACTTAGAAAGAGGAGGACTTTCCTGCAGAAAGGGATTGGATGATTCCACCTCCACCATGGACATTGAGAAGGGGACCCTTTTCCAAGGATTTTACATCTAATACTTGTACGATCCATGCAACTTCTCACAAACTAGCAAAAAAGCAAACTTTCTCTGCATTTGGTACACATGAGAAAACTGAAGCCTGCGTTTACACAAAGCACATCTCAGTTTGGAACAAGGATTCCAGAGACGCTAGGATTTGGGCCATCTGTGTCCAGGAATGGCCATGAGCGACGGAGAGAAGCAGTGAAAGTGACCTCAATGAGGCCTACCACATTTCCTCATCTCTAAGAAAGCAAAAATTTTTATCATCTCCTCTGTCATCAAACTTCCAACTCCACCTTCCCATTCTTCACTATCAGCTGGTGACCTCACTGATTATTCCATTGAGAAAAGAGAAGCATCCAGAAGAGGATGACCTCATCTCAGCATGACTGTGGGCCTAAACTTTCCATATGCTTGTCTGTCAACTCCCCTCCTCTCCTGAGGACGAGCTTCCTACTCCGCTAAAGTCACTGCCCTCGTGGCTTCTTTCTTCTACAACCAATTGTCTTCTCTCTCCTACATGGTTATTTTAGCTCTCTCATTCTCATCAGGCTTCAAGTATCATGGTTCCTATCTTAAATAAAAACAAACCTTTTGATCCCACACCAACCTCTAGCTCATTTCTTTGCCCTTTGTTAGTAAAATTCCTAGCATTGTTCATGATATGTCCTTAATATTTTGCACCCAATCAGATTTTCACATCTAGCATTCCACAGGAGCTGCTCCTGATAATGGAACTACTTCTTTCTAACTTGACAAGCCAAAGGTCAGTACTCTTTTTGCTCTCACCAACATTTGGCATTATTGATCACTCTCCTTGACATTTTCTTCTCTCAGCATCTGGGACACCACTCCCTTAGGATTTGTTACCTTACTGACTGTTTCTTCCCCTGTAGGAACACCTCTTCTGCAGCCTGACCTCTCCAAGTTGGCACCACTCAACGTTTCAGGCCTTAGCTCCTTCCTGTTTTCTCTTTCTTTCTCTTCTCCCTTCCTCCCCACTTCCTCCTCCCCCCTCCCCTTCCCCCTCCTCCTTTTTCCTACCTACAAACTTTTCCTAGCTGACCTTGTTGTCTGTAAGTTTTAAACATCTTCAGTCTGCTCAAGTTTACATTCTTTTTCCACGACTTCCCTCTTGAGGTTCAGACTTGTCTATATAACTGGTCATTTTAAGTTTCCACTTGGATGCCTAATAGGCATCTCAAACCTTCTCATGTGCAAAACACAACTTACCCACCAAAATGTACCTTACCCATCACTTCTCCAACTGCACAAAGAGCATTATGTTTTGTTCAGTTTCTCTAACTAGGAAGCACAATTGGTTTCTTTCTTCCCCAATCCTCTACTATCCAATCCATTAGCAAGTACTGTTGGGTGTACCTTCCTAGTAGATATTGAATTTGACCACTTCACACTACTGTCACTGCTGCCACACTTTTTTTGGAATAACCACTGTCATGCCATGTCCTGACTCCCATCACGGCCTGTGGCTGGGCTTCCTGCTTCTTTCTCAGCTGCCCTACAATCACTTTTCAATTGGTTCCCATTGTGATTGGTATAAATTTTGCTATTGCATCTGGTCCTTGCAAAATACTCCTGCCACCTTCTCTTTGACTCCCCTCACTTGAGCTGCACTTGCCCTTCTGTAGAGCTGCCCCATAGTGCTGGCCTCAGGGTGACATGCTCTTCTTCCATGCCTTCACCTAATTCAGGTTTCTAGTTCAGATGTCACCTCTTCAAAGAGGGCTTCCCCAACTGCGTGGTAAAATACGACCATCTCCCTCTCTTGTTGGTTTCATTTCTCATACGTGATTAATATTTTTTTCATGGCCTTTATTGCCATTTGAACTTATGTTATTTATTCAGTTTTGGAGGCTTTCTTTCTCTCTCTCTTTCTCTCTCTCTTTCTTTCTTTCTCTCTCTCTTTCTCTCTCTCTTTCTTTCTTTCTCTCTTTCTTTCTCTCTTTCTTTCTTTCTTTCTTTCTTTCTTTCTTTCTTTCTTTCTTTCTTTCTTTCTTTCTTTCTTGTCTCTTTTAATGAAGTGTCTGTGCACTGATATATTTGTAGTACTCTTTCTTCAAGCCCAGTCCTTTCTCAAGGTCTGGGATGGCAAGCTGTTATGATTGCTTTCCTCCTCTAGAGCCTGACTTTCGCCCTCCCATTACATAACTCCAACAGAAGAGACTGGGCCAAGGAATCTGGAGATGCTAGGCTGGGAGAATTGGGAAATATTTAGGCTGCTCAGGGAAGTTCAGGTTCAGGCCAAACTAACTCAGAGTTGCAGCCGGGCCTTCTCCTAGAGAAACAGCACTGGGTGGTGGTCTTAAAATGAGTGGTTCAGATACTCTCCCAGCCATGCTCTATAGCAGCACCTCCTGACCTTAAAGCCAATGTGTTCTAGGGGCAGACGAGGTTCTCTGATGGAGCCTATTGTTTTTATTTCCGTGTTCTTTTATTATCTTCTCCTCTCCTGATATCTGTGTTTGCACTTGGTAAGGTTTAACACATGGGCAGCAATCACTCATCAAGTAGTAAAATATATGTGATAGGATTTTTATTCCAGAACCTGAGGTTAAAATGGTGAGGAAAAAGAGACTTTCCTAGAGCTCACAGAACAGTGGAAGAAAGAGAGAGAATCTGACCACCTAAATGGATGTACACACGCCCACACACACACACACACACACACACTCACACACACACACACACTCACACACACACATATGATTCATGACATTGCATGGAAATCATCTAATAGCCCTAGGAAGTCAGCAGTGGCTTCCCTAGAATTCAGATAACCTTCATACTGGAAGGTTAAGTGAAAGTTAATAACTACTTTGGTAATCTGGGTCAGTTTCTCCCCATTTACAAGTGAATACTCTTTTTTTTGTGCAGAGCAATAAGTCAGAAATATTAACTGTGTCCAAGATCAAGTTTGAGAAAGTAGCAGAGGATGGGGTAGAGTCTCCGGTTTTAGGCTATCCAATCCATAAACATAGTTACAGGTTTGTCTTAGTTTCCTTGGAGACAAAACAACCACTCTGGAAGCCATCTTTTCTGTGGTACAGGCTCAGGCCAGTTATTCCCTCCAGATGACCTGGAGCCAGAATGTCAGATACATAGCACCTTTTTGGAACCCATTTTCTGTATCAGTTATGAAAATCAATTTGTGTGGAGTAAAAGTCACCTAGGTGCCTTCTAGGTTGTTGTTTCACAGCAACCCATCCTTAAGGAAATTGGCCTGGAAATATATCTCTGAACTTTAAATATATACTATCCTTCTGATAAACAATCTCTTTTCTCCAAGTGCACCTATATAATTTGTTGAGCTGGGTGCAAAATGAAATATGAGATCCCTTGCTCAAAATGCAGGATAAAGGGTTTTCCTTTTTCCTCCATTCTGTCTTGACCTGTCATGTTCTTTGTTACTCAAAACCTGCCTTCCTTGGCAGTGGAGTACTCCTGTGAAAATGCAGACCCTCCCTGGCATCTGAGACCATAGGCCACAATGACCATAATGTAGTGCCTAGACTAGACCCTGACTTTTCCTGTACCCTTGTCCAAGGACCCATCCAGCATGAGGACAACAGCTGTTGCTGGGCAGAAGCAGGGGAACAGGCAGCTGACATCCTCTCCTGGGGGGTTAGTGAGGGGGTGGGAAGCAGGGTCCCCTGAGCAGATGCTCCAAGCCCCGGGTTCATGCTCATTGTCCCACAGACGTCACTTACTAAGAACAAATTCAAAGATAAAATCATTATGTTTTAAATTAGTGCATATTAGTTTTACAGAGTAGTGAGTTTCATTGTGGCATATTCATTCATATATATGACCCACCCTCTCAGTCCCCTCCTTTAACTCCTCTTCCCCTCCCCCACAGGTCCCATCCTCTTCATCTAATAGTTTTCCTTCTACTTCCCTGTCATCAAAGAGAAAATTATTAATAAAAACAGTGACTATAGGGCATTGAGTTCCAAATGCTCAGGAAGCTGCCCCAGCAACCGCACCATCAACAATCCTGGTGTCTTCTCCTTCACTGAAAATCGCTTTGTTGTAATCTAGTGTGATTTTCAATGGGTTGGCCACCAAAATCACATGTAGAATTTTTACAGATAAAAGGTTCCCTGGGTCATACTGCAGAGATTTCTGTCTGTTTACCCATTCATTCCTTCACATCTCTATTGAACACCTCCTAGTTTCTAGACCTTGGGTAGTTTAATGGATAGAATGAAGAGAATAATATCTAGCCCCTTTGTCTTCATGACTGCATAGACCACTAAAGGAGAATGAACTGAAAGAGATAACAAATGAACATGAATCTAACTACAGATGGTAGAAAAACCATGAAAGAAACATCCCAAGGTGGAGGAGTGACTGGGGAGGGTTCAGCCTGGGGTAAAGTATGGGTGCTATTTCACTCAGGTTTAAAGCCTAGAGTGAGATTCTTCCTGATTATTTATAGGAACTTTTTAAGTAATTCTGATGATTAATCAGGCTTGGGTTTAACAAAAGTCTGATTGCTTTC